GCTTTTATCATGTGCTCATGTCCAATCCCCTTGTTGTGTTTGCCCTTGATCTAATGTCCACATATGAGGGAGAACATACGATTTTTGGTCTTTTGGGCAGGCTAACCTCACTCAGAATGATGTTTCTCCAATTCCATCCATTTACCAGCGAATGATAACATTTCGTTCTTCTTCATGGCTGCATAAAATTCCATTGTGTATAGATACACATTTTCTTAATCCATTGTCAGTGGGGCATCTTGGCTGTTTCCATAACTTGGCTATTGTGAATAGTGCCGCAATAAACATGGGTGTGCAGGTGCTCTGGAGTAACCTGTGTCAGTCTTTTGGGTATATCCCCAAAGTGGTATTGCTGGATCAAATGGTAGATCAATGTCTAGCTTTTTAAGTAGCCTCCAAATTTTTTCCAGAGTGGTTGTACTAGTTTCACCAACAGTGTAAGAGGGTTCCTTTTTCCCCGCATCCTCGCCAACACCTGTTGTGGTGGTGTTGCTAATGATGGCTATTCTAACAGGGGTGAGGTGGAATCTTAGTGTGGTTTTAATTTGCATTTCCTTTATTGCTAGAGATGGTGAGCATTTTTTCATGTGTTTTTGGCCATTTGAATTTCTTCTTTTGAGAAAGTTCTGTTTAGTTCACTTGCCCATTTCTTTATTGGTTCATTAGTTTTGGGAGAATTTAGTTTTTTAAGTTCCCTATATATTCTGGTTATCAGTCCTTTGTCTGATGTATAGCTTGGCAAATATTTTCTCCCACTCTGTGGGTGTTCTCTTCAGTTTAGAGACCATTTCTTTTGATGAACAGAAGCTTTTTAGTTTTATGAGGTCCCATTTATCTATGCTATCTCTTAGTTGCTGTGCTGCTGGGTTCTTAACCTATACCTACTAACTCCAGAGTATTTCCTACTCTTTCCTGTATCAACTTTAGAGTTTGTGGTCTGATATTAAGATCCTTGATCCATTTTGAGTTAATCTTGGTATAGGGTGATATACATGGATCTAGTTTCAGTTTTTTGCAGACTGCTAACCAGTTTTCCCAGCAGTTTTTTGAAGAGGCTGCTATTTCTCCATCGTATATTTTTAGCTCCTTTGTCAAAGACAAGTTGGTTATAGTTGTGGCTTCATATCTGGGTCCTCTATTCTGTTCCACTGGTCTTCATGTCTGTTTTTGTGCCAGTACCATGCTGTTTTTATTATTATTATTGCTTTGTAATATAGTTTGAAGTCAGGTATTGTGATACCTCCTGCATTGTTCTTTTGACTGAGTATTGCCTTGGCTATTCGTGGCCTCTTGTGTTTCATATAAATTTAACGTAGATTTTTCAATCTCTTTAATGAATGTCATTGGAATTTTGATGGGAATTGCATTAAACATGTAGATTACTTTGGGAGTATCGACATTTTTACTATGTTGATTCTACCAATCCATGAGCATGGGAGATCTCTCCACTTTCTATAGTCTTCCTCAATCTCTTTCTTCAGAAGTGTATAGTTTTCCTTGTAGAGGTCTTTCACATCTTTTGTTAGGTTTACACTAGGTATTTGATTTTTTTGAGGCTATTGTAAATGGAATTGTTTTCATACATTCTTTTTCAGTTTGCTCATTGTTAGTGTATAGAAATGCTAATGATTTTTTCTATGTTGATTTTATATCCTGCTACCTTGCTATAGCTATTGATGATGTCTAGAAGCTTCTGAGTAGAGTTTTTTGGGTCTTTAAGGTATAGGATCATGTCGTCTGCAAATAGGGATATTTTGACAGTTTCTTTACCTATTTGTATTCCTTTTATTCCTTCTTCTTGCCTAATTGCTCTGGCTAGGAATTCCAGTACTATGTTGAATAGGAGTGGAGATAGTGGGCATCCTTGTCTGGTTCCTGATTTTAGAGGGAATGGTTTCAGTTTTTTCTCCGTTAAGTATAATGCTGGCTGTAGGTTTGTCATATATAGCTTTTATAATGTTGAGGACTTTCCTTCTATTCCTAGTTTTCTTAGAGCTTTTATCATGAAATGATGTTGGATCTTATCAAAGGCTTTTTCTGCATCTATTGAGATGATCAAGTGGTTTTTGTCTTTGCTTCTGTTAATGTGGTTTATTACGTTTATTGATTTTCGTATGTTGAACCACCCCTGCATCCCTGGGATGAAGCCTACTTGGTCGTGGTGAATAATCTTTTTGATGTGTTGTGAATTCGGTTTGCCATTATTTTGTTGAGGATTTTTGCATCAATGTTCATTAAGGAGATTGGCCTATAGTTCTCCTTTTTGGAGGTGTCTTTGCCTGGTTTTGGGATAAGTGTAATACTGGCTTCATAAAATGTGTTTGGCAGTTTTCCTTCCCTTTCTATTTCGTGGAACAGTTTAAGGAGGGTTGGTATCAGTTCTTCTTTAAAGGTCTGATAGAATTCAGCAGAGAATCCATCAGGTCCTGGACTTTTCTTTTTGGGGAGACTCTTGATTGCTGCTTCAATTTCATTTTGTGTTATAGGTCTATTCAGGTGATTAATTTCCTCTTGGTTCAGTTTTGGATGATCATATGTATCTAGAAATCTGTCCATTTCTTTAGATTTTCAAATTTATTTGAATATAGGTTCTCAAGTAGTCTCTGATGATTTCCTGGACTTCCATGGTGTTTGTTGTTATCTCCCCTTTTGCATTCCTATTCTACTAATTTGGGTTTTTTCTCTCCTCATTTTAGTCAGGTTTGCCAGGGGTCTATCGATCTTGTTTATTTTTTCAAAGAACCAACTTTTTGTTTCATTAATTCTTTGTATGGTTTTTTTTGGTTTCTATTTCGTTGATTTCAGCTCTTATTTTTATTATTTCTCTCCTTCTATTTGTTTTGGGATTTGCTTGTTCTTGTTTTTCTAGGAGTTTGAGATGTATCATTAGGTCATTGATTTGGGATCTTTCAGTCTTTTTAATATATGCACTCATGGCTATAAACTTTCCTCTCAGGACTGCCTTAGCTGTGTCCCATAGGTTCCGGTAGGTTGTGTTTTCATTTTCATTGACTTCCAGGAACTTTTTAATTTCCTCTTTTATTTCATCGATGATCCATTGTTCATTAAGTAATGAGTTATTTAGTTTCCAGCTGTTTGCATGTTTTTTGTCTTTACTTTTGTTGTTGAGTTCTAGTTTTACTGCATTGTGTTCAGATAGTATGCACGGTATAATTTCTATTTTCTTATATTTGCTGAGGCTTGCTTTGTGCCCTAGGATATGATCTATTTTGGAGAAGGTTCCATGGGCTGCTGAGAAGAATGTATATTATGTAGAAGTTGGATGAAATGTTCTGTAGACATCAAGTAGGTCCATTTGATCTACTGTATATTTTAGATCTTGGATTTCTTTATTGATTTTTTGTTTGGATGACCTATCTATTGATGATAATGGGGTGTTAAAGTCTCCCACAACCACTGTGTTGGAGTTAATATATTCTTTTAGGTCTTTCAGGGTATGTTTGATGAAATTGGGTGTATTGACATTGGGTGCATACAGGTTGCTAATTATTATTTCCTTTTAGTCTATTTCCCCTTTTATTAGTATGGAATGTCCTTCTTTATCTCATTTGATCAATGTAGGTTTGAAGTCTACTTTGTATATGCATATATAAAAGGAATATGTATACTTCAAGAATCTTTGAAGACAACAGTGGAATTCAGGAAAGCTACAATTTATCAGAAATTCCTCAAAAGTCATCTGTTTTTTCACACCAAATGTTACCTGATCATGGCATGTCCTCAAATAAGCTTATATGAAAAAAAGCAAAACTTATGACATGTAAAATGTCACATGGATACCTAATAGCAGTAATGAAACTTTCAAGGTTGCTACTAAGCTCTCACACATACAAATTAGAAATATTATTACGTAGAGTAGTAAGTGATGAAATCCTAACATTAAACTTCAATTTCTACTGTATATAAAAAAAACTCCTAGCCAGGTGTGATAGTGCAGCCATCCCAGCACTCAGGAGAATGAGATGGATGAATCTCAAGTCAGACTGGAATGACATACAATCTCCTTACAAGTTCAGCTACATAACAAGACCCTGTCAAAAGAAAGGAGAGCCAGGCACAGTGGCTCATGCCCATAATCCTAGCTGTTTGGCAGATAGAGAGCAGGAAGATGGCAGTTTGAGGAAAGGCCAGCCCAGACAAAAAAACTGGACAGACCACATTTCTACCAGTAAGCTGGACATGGGGATGCACATCAGTTGTCTCAGTTACTAAGAGGCATAAATAGAAGGATCAATATCCAGGCCAGCACAGGCAAAACCATGAGACCCTATCCGAAAAATAACAAAAGCAAAACGACTGGGGGAGTGTATCAATTGATAGAGCACTTGCTCAGTAAGCATGGGGCCCTGAGTTCAGACTCCAGTACTTACCACCCCCTCTCCAAAAAAAATAAGAGAGAAGAGAAAAAGATACAATGAACTTTGTTAATATTATAGAAAATTGGTATAAAGACCAGAATGAGCCAGGCACCAGTGGCTGAGATCAGGAGAATCAAGGTTTGAAACCATCTGAGCAAATAGTTCAAGGGACCCTATCTTGAAAAAACCCACCACAAAACACAAAACAGGGCTGGTGGAGTGGCCCAATTGGTAGAGTACCTGACTAGCAAGCATAAGGCCCTCAGTTCAAACCCCAGTACTGCCAAAAAGAACTCCACAGAAAAGTATCAAATGAAAAGCACAGGGGTTAGTTGTAGCTCAGTGGAGGGCATGCCCACCATGAGCAAAGCTCCATTCCCAGCACCAAACGAAAAGAATTTAGGATCACTTCAAAATATTCATGGATTGACTATTTCAGTTTCTTAAAATCTACATACAGAATTAGAATTTGTAAAATGTTAACAACATATTAGAAGAACTTGTTATAATGAAAACAAGTTTCTACTCATTAGATTCTTTTTTGTCATGCAATCATACTAAGGTCCTTCATTGTATAACAAGCAAACAAAATACTAATTGTAATAACTCAGCCTTTAAAAAACTTTGATCTGACATGTAGAATAGAATACTGGTCTAAAAATATGAATGTTAGAAAAATAAAATGCACTTCTTACAGAGAAAGCTGCATCTGACGGGAGTCCCCTGAAGTATTCAAATACATGAAGTCCTCAGCCCATTTAGAAAATGAAGGAAGGTACTCCTCTACTTCTTGCTTTATTTCATCTTCATTCAGATTTAAGCGGTACCTGCCAAAATAAAAGATGTTAAATATGAAAGCCCTGAATTCAAAGCCCAGTACCATCAAAATAAAAATAATAATAATAATAAAAGTACTTACCCAACATATGACAGGATCAAAAAATTTTTTAGAAAAGATTGTATGTCACTAGTAAATCAGTTGTATGGAGTTTTAGAAACATTAAGCTAACTAGATTACATTTTAGAAAATATAGGTCTATGTCAACAAGCTTGGAAATCAAAATCACCACTAACAGAAAATTCCTCAGACTAGGTGTGGTACACCTGTAATTCCAGGACTTGGGAGGTAGAGACAGGAGGATCTGGGTTTGAGGCCAGCCTGGGCTTTATAACATGACCCTGTCTCAAAAAACTAAAAAACAAAAACAAAAAAAATTCTGTGAAAAAATGGTAGACTGCATAGAAGTCAAGAACTAGAGACACAGGCTGGATGTCTCATGCTGTAATCCTAGCTACTCAGGAAACAGTTCGAAGCCAGCCCAGGCAAATAGTTCTCAAGGCCCTATTTTGAAAAACCCCATCACAAAAGTAGGGCTGTTGGAATGGCTCAAGATGTAGGCCCTGAGTTCAAACCCCAGTACTGCAAAAAAAAAAAAAAAAAAAAAAGGGGGCTAGAAGAGTGGCTCAAGCTATAAAACGCCTGCCTAGCAAGCATAAGGCCCTGAGTTCAAACCCCAGTACTGCAAAAATAAATAAACAGACATAGGCTGGGGATGTAGCTCAGTGGTAGAGTGCAGCAGAGTATGTCAATCCTTTTTCAGGCAGTCATTTGTATTTTTTACATATATTATCTCCACTGTCATAAACAGTCTGCAAAAATAGTTATTATCAGATTTTTTTTTTCCTCTAGTCTGAACTCAGGGCTTTGTGCTTGCTAGGCAGGCGTTTTACCACTTGAGCCACACCTTTAGCCTTTTTTGCTCTGGTTATTTTGGAGATGGGGATCTCGCTTTTTGCTCAGGCCAGCCTGGACCGCAATCATCCTATTTACCCTTCCCACTGTAGCTGGGATGACAGGCGCACCACCATACTGTTTTGTCCTGAAAACATTTTTGCTAGGGCTGGCCTCTCCTGATCTCAGCATCCCACAGAGTTGGACTGACAGGTTCCAGATGCATGCTGCTGCACCCAGCTATTGGTTGAGATGGGGTCTCATGAGCTTTCTGCCCAGGGTTGGCCTTGAACTATGATCTTTGCCTTTAAGTAGTTAGGATTCTAAGTGTGAGCCACCAGTGCTGAGCCTTCTTCAGATTCTTTTTCTTTCTTTTATTTTTCTGGTACTGGGGTTTAAACTCAAGGCCTCAACGCTTGGTAGACAAGCAGTGCTTGAGCCAGTCTACCAAGCCCTTCAGATACTTTAAGTAACTTATTTAGTCATAAAACTGGCAAACTTGGATTTTTTTTTTTTTTTTTATGGTAGCACTGGGCTTTGAACTCAGGGCCTCACACTTGCAGGTGCTCTATCACTTGAGTCATGCCCCCAAAGTTCAATTTTAAAAAGAATTTTTTATTAGGATATATTTGTTGTATGGGGTGGATTCATCATGACAATCCCAAACAGGCTTACATTGTATATTGGTTAGATCACCCGCCATCATCTCTCCCTGTCATCCTCCTTGGGGCTCAACTTAAAGCAATTGTAAGACGTTTCATTGTTCTTTTTCATACAAGTATACGAAGTCCACCAACCATACACCCTCACCTTAATCTCCTTCCTTCACCCTCCCGCCCCACAAACACCACCCAACACCCACAAACTGTACCAATTTTATAGTCCAGTCTTTCATTATGAATTTTTAAAGTTCGATTTTGAAGCTAGTTCCACATAACTACAAATCCATATAATTTTCAGTCACACTGCTTCTAGAACTAATGCACAAATATTTTGAACACATTCTCTGACAACAGCTAAGAAATCTGTTGTGCACATGTGCAGAATATTTAGGTATTGTTGCCTAAGAGCTCCTGTTATGCAATTTCAGAAACTCTTCAGAGTTGCAACAGAGTACTTACTGCAACCTTGAAGTCTGCATTTTAGTTAAAAATAGACCTGAGAAGTCCAAGTCTATTTTTGAATTTTTTTTTTTTTTGCAGTACTGGGGGTTGAACCCCTGGCCTAACACTTGCTAGGCGCTTGAGCTATGCCACCAGCCCTGTAGAGAAAAGACCTGAACCCTAAATTCTAGGCAAGAAATTGCATGATAAAATATATCTGCAGTTCTTCTCACAATTACTTACATTTCCTTCAAATGCCTTATTTCTTGAATGGTTTGAAAAGCAAGTTCTTGTAGTTTTTCTGGGGCAAAGCTATCACTTATCGCTTTCTGAAATACTTCATGGAGAACTGTACCAACCAGCATTTGGTGTGTGGCTGGATCAGAGCTCTAGGAAACAAATCATACAAACATGTTGTGAAACATGCTAATATGTTGTGAATCATATTTCACAACATTTTAATACATATGACTGTATACTATGCAACCATTATAGCCAAAGTATACTGATAAAGAGGAATGTCAAAATATTTTTATCTGGTGGGTAGAATTATGATACATGACTTTCACTTTCTTCTATTCAGAATCATCTCAACTGTACAAGTCTTGGGTGTTTTCAAAATAAGTATATTTCCATTTTGAAAAAATTAAAATCATCAATATGAAAAAGTTCAACATATTTTCAAATATTTAACATTGCAGTGGCTCACGCCTGCAATCCTAGCTACTTGGGAGGCTGAGATGGGGAGGATTGAGGTTCAAGACCAGCCCAGACAAAGTTAGCAAGACCCCATCTCGATCAATAGTTGGGCATAGAAGTGCATGCTTGTCATCCCAGCTATAGGGGAATTGTAAATAGGTGGACTGCAGTCCAGGTGAGTCCAGGCAAAAATGTGAGACCCTATGCCAAAAATAATCAAAACAAAAAAAGCTGAGGGCCTGGCTCAAGTGATATAGCACCTACCTAGCAAGCAAAGCCCTGAGCTCAACTCCTAATACCACCAAAATAAGCAGACCAAAAAGGGCTAGAGGCATGGCTCAAAGCAGCAAAATCTCTGCCTAGCAAGCATAAAACCCTAAGTTCAAACCCCAGTACCAACCAAAGGAAAAAAAATTACTATTCAAGTCTGCTTTACGTAGTTGAAAGAGAAACCGGTATTTCTTCACAATTCAAACAAACAAAAAATTAACAGAATGCTAAGACAAAGTACAGGATTGGGGACATAGCTGAGTGTGAAAGCATTTGCCTGGCAAGCACAAGGCCGTACATTTGATTCCCAGCACCACCCAGAAAAAAGAAAAGAAAAAAAATCTACAAATGAGTAATAGCCAAAATGATTAGAAAATCTATTTAGGTTACTTTTCTTCTTTTACTCTTGCAGCCTCAGGTGGATTTCTGGTTTTCTGCATGCATACAGGTTAATTATATAGTTAAAATATCCTGAGAGGAGGAGAAAACTTTTAACAAATAATCCAGGTTCGTCAACAAATAAATGGCAAAAGACAGAGAAGGTGGAAGACACAATTAACAGACAGTAAAAGAAACTAAGAAACATACCAGCAAAATATACCAAGACCTTGCTTGGATACTGATTCAAACACATGAACAACAAAAAAATTTTTTTGTGAAGACATTACAAATGAGCTGGGGGCATTAACTTAAGGAAGTACTCTTAATTTTATTAGGTACAGGATACTTTATTTAAGGGGCATTTTGGTGGTACTGGGGTTTGTTCTCAGGGCCTCGCATTTGCAAGGCAGGCACTCTAGCACTTGAGCCGCACCTTCAGCCTTTTATTATTGTATGTGCCCAGGCTGGCAGTGAGCCACGATCTCCCTGATCTCCATCTCCTGAGTAGTAAGGATTATAGGCGTGAGCCACTAGTGCCCAGCTCCGCAATAATTTTTTTTTTTCAGTTTAATTTATTGTGTGCATTTTGAAGTGAAAGTTTCCACAATAATTTTTTAAATGGACTTTCTCACTTATTTTTACTTTATTGGGAATCACATAAAGCCAAGATCAGAAATGCCTAGGTGTATTAAATTAAAAATTTTATACCTTGCTAGACACTGGGAGCTTATGCCTGTAATCCTAGCTAGTTGGGAGGCTAAGATCGGGAGGATGAAGGGTGAAGGCCAGCCCACGCAAATAGTTCTTGAGACCCACTTCCCCCCATCTCCAAAATAAATAGAGCAAAATGGACTGGACTGGAGGTGTGGCTCAAGTGGTAGAGCACTTGTTTTGAAAGTGAAAATTGTTTTGAAAGTGAAAACCCCTGAGTTTAAACCCCAGACCCACCAAAAAAAAAAAAAAGAAAAGAAAAAAAGGTCTTCTCGTTTAAGGGCTGGGGTGGAGCTCAGTGATAGAGCACTTGCCTGGCACCTGCCAAGCCCTGGGTTAAATCCTCAGGAACACACACATATATCACTTAATTTTCTTATCATTATAATATTTTTATCAAGAACTAAACAAGATTCAAAGAACTGTTGAATCCCAGCACTGTCACTTTAGTTATATGACTTTGGATGCCCTTAGCTTCCCTGGGCCACTTTCCTCCTCTGTAAAATTAGCATCATCTACCTGGGAGGACTACTGACAGGAATAAATGAAAAAGAGAATGTATAAGTGTTCTTTAGAGGCTGAGGACTCAGCTCAATGGTAGAGCATGTGCCTAACATGAGGGTGACCCTGGGTTTGATCTCCAGTATGGTAAACAAATCAACCAAAAAAGTAGTCCATATGCCTTAAGAGGCTAACACAGAAGGGCAAAGGACTCTCCATAAAACCCAAAGAAGAAGCCGGGCTCCAGTGACTCACACCTTTAATCCTAGCTACTCAGGAGGATCGAGGTTTGAAAGCCAACCTGGGCAAATAGTTTGTGAGACCTAATCTCAAAAATACCCATCACAAAAAAGGGCTGGTGGAGTGGCTCACGGTAAAGGCCCAGACTTCAAACCCCAGTCGTGAAAAAAAAAAAACAAAAAACCCAGAGACAAGACTGTAAAATCCCTCCCTGAATCCTGTCTGGAGTCTGCAGTCCATAAACTCTAAGATCCTGTACAAACATTAGTTGATAATAATTTTTACCCTAAAAGTTTCACTCAGGACAGCTCTTCTCATACATCGAATACTACTGGCTATGCTCGTGCTCGAAATCAGCATGTCTGGGTAGAGAATCAAATATCCAAAATCCTCATCTATTATCCAAGTACCAGATGTGCAGTCTCCCTCTAAGTGAATGACATCCCCCGGCTCTACTGGTACAGAGCACCTGAAAATAAAGCAAAGTCAAGGTAGAAATACATAGTTCAGTTTCCTACAATTAAACCTATCAAGAAGGCTCCAAAAAATAAGCAAGTTTATCTGAAGAATAAAAAATATTTGTAAACATCTGGGTCTTTTTAAAAAATTAAACACCAGGGTTCAGTCTGAGACTCCCACACAGGGACTTCTCTTCTCGTTTCCTTATTCTTAATAAACCTCAGCTCTTTCACTCAAAAAAATAAATAAATAAACACCAGAATACAGAATACAGTCTTCTGAATCAACTCCTAGTTACTCTACTCCTTTCTCCATGAAACACATCTAAGACTACTCAAGGGCTTTCCTTAAATCCCAAGGAGGAAAACTGCTTAGTGATAGTAAAGTCTACTATGAAAGCTATCAAACCTAGCTCCAATTATGAACTGAATTGTTTTAATAATTAATTCTCTCATTCTTAAGACTTAAGGTCAAACTCAGCGTACCAAGAATAAAATTTTATCTATCTAGTTTAAACTAACTCATGCTCTAGACAAAGAGCCAAAGTTAGAGTAAATATTTCAAAATCTGAGATAATCAAAAATTCAAAAACATTTCTGACCATAAGTATTTCAGATAAAGGATACTCAGCTTGTACCTGATCTTCAAATAACAATACAAATCAATATGGGGATCAAGGGACTTGAAATGTTGGGGCAGTAGTCACAATATTCATGTACAAATGAATCAGTCAGGTTCAAATCTATTCCCTTTTTAAGAACAATAGCAATATCCACACAAACCATCTGCTAGGTTTTAAGATGGTACCATGGACATGGGGCTGGCTCAGTGGTAGAGGCTTGCCTAGCATACACAAGACCTTGGGTTCAACCACCAGCACCACACCCACATAAAAGATGACACCTTCACACTCTTACATGGTCACACAGACTTACCAGCCATTCCTCAGGATGCACTGTTCTTTATATTCTGGAGACTGGGAAGCAGTGATGATTAAGTGCTTTTCACAGCTTCCACTTTCATTCTGTACCATATCAACTGCTAACACCTGGTAGCGGTTATCCATTCCTCGGCTCAGAATCAGTTTAGGAAAAGAAGCTTCCACCTTATTCTGAAATCTAAAACACAGACATACAAATCTATTTTAGTACACCATGAAATAAGAAGTCACTCATGGGCTGGAGTTGTGGCTCAAGTGGTAGAGTGCATGCTTCACAAGTATGATGCCCTGAGTTCAAACCCCAGTTCCACCAAAAAAAAAAAAAAAAAAAGTCACTCATTCATTTCTTCTGAAAAAGCTTATAGTAATGACCTTCAACTAAAATAGGTGAAACTGAGCAAAGATGTAGTGGGAGAATTCCTACTATAAAAACTTCCCTAAGGGGCTGGCTCAAGTGGTAGAGTGCCTACCTAGCAAGCATGAGGACCTGACTTCAAGCCCCAGTACCACCAAGTGTTTGTTTAGCATGGGTTTGAACCTGAAGGCCACAATATACAAATGAAACATGGTCTTTCCAATTTAATCTTTGTGAGTTTTGGGGATCGTGCATCAGCACGAGGATTAAGAATAAACTGGGATGCTGGGTGCTGGTGCCTCACGCCTGTAATCATAGCTACTTGGGAGAATGAGATAGGGAAGACTGAGGTTTGATCCAAGCCTGGGCAAATAGTTCATAAAACCCCATCTCCAAAATAAACTGACCAGGGCTAGCAGATCGGCTCAAGTGGTAGAGTGCCTGCTTTACAAGCACAAAGTCCTGGGTTCAAGCTCCCCCCCAAACAAAGAATAAAGTGGGGCTGTGGATATGGTTCAAATGGTAGAGCACCTGCCTACCAATCTCAAGGCCCTGAGTGCAAAACTCCAGTGCTGCCAAAAAATAAACTCGAATGAGGGCTGGGGACATGGCTCAAGTGGTAGAGCACTTGACTAGCAATCATAAGGCCAAGTTCAAACTCAAGTACTGCCCCTCCCTCCAAAAAAAAAAAGAATAAATTAGGTGGCACATGCCTATAGTTCAGGCATGGCTTGAGCCTAAGAGTTTAGACAGCCTTGGCAACACAGCAAGACTCCACTCAAATAAATAAACGGGAAAATATTAAACAATTCTGTACCATTGGTGAAATCCTTTCCAAAGCCTTTAGAAGGTACAACTAAAAGATCTTCTGGACACTTTTCCAAATAAGAGGCTTGTGTTGGTGTGCAGTACAGCACTTGCCTAGCATGGGGGAGGCTCTGTGCTTGATCCCCAACCTTAGTCTAATGTCATGGAAAAAGAGTACTGTGAGCCAGGCAGGGTAATCCCACCACTCAGGAGAATTTTAAGTTCCAGGCAAGCCTGACCTGGACTCCATAATGAAGACTTATCTCAAAAAGGCAAAAAAAAAAAAAAAAATTGTCTAGGGTTCACTAAAAGTCCCACCATGAACTGCAGAATCAGTCATCTTTAGGAAAAGATTTGGGCCCAGCGAGCACAAGACCATGGATTTCTCTCCAGCACTACCAAATACAAAACAACCCAAATTTTCTAGTCTGTTTACTGGCAGGAAATCACTCTATAAAATTTCACTGGGAATCAACTGGCCACTGCTTTGAGGAGAAAGCAAGCTCCCCTCCCCCTTTCAGGAAGGGGGTCTCCCTAGGTTGCATAGTCTGGTCTCAACTTCTGGACTCAAGGATTCCTCAGCCTTAGCTTCCAAAGAAGTTCGGACTACAGCTGATGACCATCCCGTCCAGTTGGAAAGCAGACTTAGTACCTATTAGTGTAGCTGGGTCAGATCGCCTGAAATCATGCAAAATAATCTCTAGAAATCAGCCCTTCCTTAAGTCTTTCCTGTTGAAGGGCACCAAGGCTTGATTTGTAAGTGACCAAAAGAAAGTCCAAAGTCACTCCCTCTCCAATTACAAGATCAAACACTTTTCACATTACCCTATAAATTACCAGTCACCTAATAGTTTAGAATATACATTCTATTATTTTGTAAACGTTTTACTTAACTCTCCCACCTAGCCTCAGGCCATGCATTTCCCAAGATTGGCTGTGATGCCTAAAAGATTTCTCAAAAGGTACTTGCTGAGGCCGGGAGTGGTGACACCTGTATTCTCCGCAGTCAGAAGGCTGAGGCAGGAGGATAAAGAGTTCAAGGCCAGCTAGGTTAACCTAAGGAGACGTGCCTCAACCAGCAATAAAACGGTACGGTTGCGCAAACCCCAAACTTCCTGGGGTAAGTTCAACTCAGTAAACGAGAAAAGCATCCGACCATTTCCTTTTAGGAGAACATTTCGCAAATTCGGGAAAGAGGTAAAATCAAGCACGAACTGCAGGTCCCAAATCTTCAAGCTCTGGCCTAGCGTAGCCCGCGGGGCCGCAGCCCGGAGTCTCCGACTGGGCGCCGGCGCGGCCTCTCCACGGCTCCCATTCAAATTTCCCGCTCTTCCCACGCCCGCCCGCTCCGCTCACAGCTCTGCCTGCGGCGCCTCCTCCTCCTCCCCGAAACTCTTTTCCATGAGCAGCTCCAGTTCGTCCAGCTGCTCCATCCCGGGCACGCGGCCGCAGACGGTCCCCAAACAAAAGGGGAGACAGGACCACCCCAGAAGAGCCAGGCACAGAAACGCGAGCCTGCGCGGCCTGGCACGCATGCGCCGATTGCCGAGTGCCCACGTGACCCGCGCCGGGCCCCGCCCCTCCCACGCAAGCAGTATGCAGCGCCGCACCTGCTCCCGCACTCCGGGCCTGGAAACGACCTGCGCGAGGCTCCTGATCGCCCCGCACGCTGCAGCCCAGGCCCAGCGCGCGTCTGTTGTTTGAACAAAACTAATGCGGGTGCTCCTGTTGACTTTGGGAATCTTGCATTTTCTGGGAGATAACCCCTCACTTTTTTACTGAAAAGCTCATTGAGAAAATGAGCTGTCTGGTGGGAACTTAAGCAGGTCATGACTGAATCTACCAAACTGCCACCGCTGCTTCCTATGCCTTTTTTAAACAAAGTGTTCCTGTTACCAAAAATCTCTTCACCTATGCTCAGGGTCCCAGGTGTGGCTTCTTCACTTACTCGTTCTCTTCCATCATCCATCTCATTCTCACTATTGCATTGCTCCCATTTTTGTAATATGAACCTGTCTTTTCCCATACAGGACTGACTCCATCCCTCTGTTAGCCACCCTCCACAGAAACTTCTTTAAAGAATTTTCATCAAGACTATCTTTAATTTCAACTCCTATTCGTTTTTGGTTTTGGGGGGTTTCTTACTATTTTATTTATGTATTTATTTTGTGATACTGGGGTTTGAACTCAGGGCTTACACCTTGAGCCACTCCACCCAGCCCTTTTTCTGTGATGGGTTTTTCCCCACCACAGGGTCTCACGATTTGCCTGGACTGGCCTCCAACCCTGATCCTCCTGATCTCTGCCTCCTGACTACCTAGGATTACAGGCATGAGCCACTGGAGCCAAGCAACCAGCTTCATATTTTGTTGATTCCTGTTTTAACTGCAAGCCATTATTGACAACATAGAGTGATCTTTGTTAAACATGTGACAATGTGTTTTTTCTTGATGGGACTAGGCTTTGAACTCAGGGCTTCTCACTTGCAAAGCAGGCACTCTCTACCCCTTGAGCCACACCTCCAGGCCATTTTGCTCTAGGTTTTTTCTTTTTGCATTTTTTGTTGTTTTTTTGGGGGGGTAGGCAGCATTGGGGTTTGAACTCACATCCTCATGCTTGCTAGGCAGGTGTTCTTACTGCTTGAGCCACTCCTCCAGTCCTGCTTTGTTTATTTTGGGGATAGGGTCTCACGAACTATTTCCCCAGGATGCCCTAGGAATGCAATTCTCCTGATCTCAGCCTCCTAAGCAGCTAGGGTTACAAGCATGAGCCACCAGCGCCCTCCTATAATGTAACAATTTTCCATCCCTACCGAGAACCTTCAGTAGCTTCCCAGTGCATATAGGATAAAGGACAAAATCATTACCTCATCCTATGGACTACTACAGGACCTGGCCTTTCTCTATGAAACAACCAAAAAGATCTTAATTCTAAATTGTTATTTTGACTTGAACATAGGCTCTCCAAAAATGGGACTGAGTTGTCCTTCCCACCAGTACACATTATTGAGCACTTGTTATGGTGCCAGACCACGGGACTCCTACTGGAGACAAAGGCATGGCTCTGGCAGTGGGGAAAGCAGCTGGAGGTTGGACATGGGAGACATAGGTATGTGGGCAGTTATCATAAAGTATGGATACTACTGGGCATCCAAATCAGACTGTAAGAACAGTGAACTGGACTCCCAAGGAAAGTGCCCCATAATGCTGATGCAATCCTGGTATGCAATATGCTGGGCAAATGGTCACCAGTCCCCTGGTGGAGAAGGGAGCAACATGTCATTGGATAGACCCAGCAAGCTCTCCACCTCCGTGCAAGCAGCTACTGATAGCTTGGGTGGAACCTCACCCCTCAGTCCCATTCCACAGTCCAGATGGCTGTACAAACTGAGAGCAGGAAAAGAGAAACAAGGGAGTACAAACCACAAATAAATTGCCAGTCTTCAAACGGAAGGTAGGCTAGCAAGGTGCACTTTGACTTACCTATCAGAAATGAATAGGATATAAGCATACTGTTGTTCTTAAATATTCTTCCATTCTGACATCTTATGTTTAGCATTTGTGCTTCAGTAATGTAAACAGAAGAAATAAACCATGGTTTGTGCTTACCCAAGGAAGGGAAAAAATGTTTGGCTGGAGACATGGCTCAAATGGTGGAGCACCTGCTTGGTGAGTGTGAAGCCCTGAATTCAAACTTCAGCAACACACACACACACACACACACACACTCACACACGCATACACACACGCACACACCAGAAAAGAAAGAAACCAGCCAGGCCTGGTAACACATGGCTATAATCCCAGCACTCAGGAAGCTGAGGCAGGAGGATCATGAATTTGAGGCCAGCCTCAAGTTCTAGGCTTCATAGAACTTAAGGCTTCATAGCAAGTTCCAGGCCACCTGGGCTATACAAGACTGTGTCTCAAAACAAAAACATACATACAGACATACAGACATACAAATAAATACATTAAAAAGCATCAAACTAAGGATAAAATTTATTTTAATATCCTATGAATTCTATAAGACATAGAAGGCAAATTTTTATTTAAAAAACTATTTGCAGTTCCCCTGTATGGATAATATAGATGAGATACTTATTTCAGACACTTAAATTATCTTAATGACAGTAGTTAGCTACATTGTGGTCCAGAAATCAGAATATACAAAATAGTTTTAGAAACACATGTATTTTTCTACCTGCTGTACACTTACAAATCATACAAAGATGCATGTTTATTTTTTAAAATAAAGACTCTGAAAATGAAACCAGCTCATCAATTTTTACCAAGATATGTCAGAAAATCTTTTATGCAAAAAATAAAAAATGATGCAGAAATAACACTTGCAACTTTGTTTTCTAATGTCTTAGAAGTCACATCAATTCTATAAATCACTATTTCTAAATAGAGAATTTTAACTGTTTCCTTCACATTTATGATATGCTTACAATGAAACATAGACAGTGCTCTAAACACAATACTTGGAATCCTTACATTTTTAAACAACTTTCTTAATATAAAGGATAACATTCAAATCGTGTTATGTTTTTACTTAAGTTTATAATATACTAAAGTTACTTTACATGGAAGAACTCTTATCATGACATAATACCTCTGAAATATTCTTTGATACTCAAATATACATTAATGGGTATTTCATAGTCCACTTAAATAAATCTAGTATACACCAAGTCATCTAACAAAAGCATGGGTAGAGTACTACTCTGTTTTTGAGAGAAAGACATTCAGTGTTTGTTATTACTGTCTTTGGGAAATACACTGACTTTTAAAACACATGTAAATCACTCATAGTGCCTGGTTAATAACACTTCAGAAAAACCTGCTACTTATTTTTTCATTCTCTCCTTTTTAAACACAACATTGATTTTATGAAAAAAATGAAGGAGGGCTGGGGTGTAGCTCAGTGGTGCTGAACTTGCCTACCATGTACAAGGCCCTAAATTCCATCCCCAGAATAGCAAAAATAAAAAACAAAGGAAAAAAATGATTGTCGCTTTATCCAGTAGAACAGCTTTATGAGATAATACTTCCATGCTGGCTGTTTCACAGAACTTAAAAATAATTCAGTTCTCGTCATTCTGCTACTCTGTAACCTAGTCTGTTTATGAACAATACTAATCGAGGTTAGAGGGCTGGAGATGACATTCAGAGGTTGAGCACTTGCCCAGCATGAGTGAGGCCCTGTGTTTGATCCCCAGCACCATCACCACTGCAAAAGCTGGAGATGTAGCTCATTGATAGAGTGTGCACTCAGCATGCATGAGGCCCTGGGTTTGATCCCTAACACTATATTCAAAAAAAAAAGAAAGAAAGAAACTCATGCCAGCCACCGATGGCTCACACCTGTAATCCTAGCTACTTGGGACGGCAGAGATCAGAAGGATCACAGTTCGAAGCCAGCCTGGGGTAATAGTTCTGGAGACCCTATCTTAAAAATATCCAACACAAAAAAGGGCTGGTGGAGTGGCTCAAGTGGTAGAGTGCCTGCCTAGCAAGCATGAAACCCTGAGTTCAAACGCCAGTACTGAAAAAAAGAGAAGAAAATAATAATTACAGACTGGGGATGTAGCTTAGTGGAACAGCATGTGCTTAGCATGTGGAAGCACACAACAACAAAAATCATGATTATAATTAAAAGCTTGGAACAGTATGATAAAGCTACCAGAAACCTCTTGAACCCCATTATAAAGTTCCTTCTGCGTCCAAAGAACTGTAAGATGGTATCAAATAACGAAACTGATTAGCCAGCATTAGCTTAAGAATTTCTTCCAGCATTAAAAGGTAAATGTTTGGCTATAAAAAAGTATTTTAATCACTTTTGGCTTGTGAATTAGGAAAAAAAAAATTAAGTAATGCCGGACCTGGTGGTGCATGCCTGTAATCCCAGGACTTGGAGGGCTGACTCAGGAGGATCTAGAGTTCCAGGCCAGCCTGGGCTACACAGCAAGACCTTCTCAAAAAGCAAGAACAACAACCCTGTGACAGGGTAAATATTCTTGTTCAAGTACTATTTGCCCATAATTAAAGTATCATTTTATTTTTCTTGTTTTCCTCTAAGACTTTATTAGGGAGAGGAAACCACAGACCATAACTTTTTTTAGTTGAGGTGAAAAAACTGCTTCATAAGTTCGTATGTTGTAAAAGCCACTGCTTGAGAGGGAATGCAGCGAATGTAATTAAGGGATAAGCCACGGTACAGCCCTTTCCGAATTCCATGCTGTCCATAGACGTACTTCATAGTCTCCCTCATGGTACTGAAAGACAAGGGTGAAAGGGTGACAGCTCTATGACCATTCACCAAGACACAACTTCATGATTCATGATCCATATTAGTATATTAAAAAGAAGCTGAAATGAATTTTTTTTTTTTTTGGTGGGGCTGGGGGTTTAAACTCAAGACTTCACGCTTGCGAAGCAGGTACTCTACTGCTTGAGCCACGTCTCCAACCCATTTTGTTCTGGCTATTTTTGAAGATACAGTCTCATAACAAACTATGCCCAGGCTGACCTCAAACCACAATCCTCTGAATCTCAGCCTTCCAAGTAGCTAGGATTATAGGCGTGAGCCACCAGCACCCAGCTTCTAGAATGCCATCTTCAATAGCTTTTAGAAGACAAGTGTTACAACAAGCTAAAAAAATCAGAATGAAACACCAACTCATCCCAATCAAGTACAGACATAATTTTGGGCTCCTTAATACAAAATATTTTGTTTGTATTCTATCTGTGACATTAGGGAAAGCACTATGCCACAGCATTTGAAATACCGATGCAGTCCTTTTAAAAGATGTATCACCAGCTGCCCTTTAAGTTTTTGTCACAGCTCAACTTTCCTATTATAAAAGAACAAAAGCCTGAAGGACTACCCTTCAGATTTCAGCAATGAAGACTTCATTTCATTTCTTTCCATTCAAATCAACATTCTGGGCTTTGCCTTTCCCTTTCAATATGCAATCTTCAAAAAATCTTGATTGAACAAGGCAATCCAAGGTTCTGAGGAACAATAACATGTCACCAAACTTCTGTAGTTTGGGTCTACAAAGTGCCCTAAAGATCCATGGGTCAAAGGCTTGATTCTCAGGGAGGCACTGTTTGTTGGGGGATAGAGGAATAATTAAGAGAAGGGGCCTAGCGGGAAGTCTTTGGGAATGTACCCTCAAAGGTGATTGTGGGGCTCTAGCCCCTTCTTTGTTTTCTCTTTCAATTCCAGGCCATGATGGTTTTGCTCTGCCACACACTCCTGCCATGATGTGCTACTTTGCCACAGGCCCAAAAGCAACAGAACCAATTCCTTGTGGACTGAAGCCTCTGAAACTCTGAGTCTCTTTATAAGTTGATTATCTCAGGTATTTTTCTATAGTTACAGAAAGCTGACTAACACAAAACAAAATGACCCTAAATTTCCATAGAGTATAGGAAATTCTAGAGTTGTGCTGTGTTGTAACAGTAGCCACTAGTCAAATGTGGCAACCAGTGGTAGTCCAAACTGAGATGTCCTGTGAGTATAAAATACACCTAGATTTCAATACTTCAAGAGTACAAAATGTTGGGCTGATGGATCAGCTCAAGTGATAGAGCACCTGCCTAGCAAGTATGAGGCCTTGAATTAAAAAAAAAAAAAAAAAGGGGTACAAGATATTGAAATCTTGAACTTATACTATTTTAGAAATAGTAGGCTAAACAAGCCAGGAGCCAGTGGCTCACGCCTGTAACCCTAGCTACTCAGAAGGCAGAGATCAGGAGGATCATGGTTCAAAGCCAACCCCGGGCAAATAGTATGTGAGATCCTATCTCAAAAAAACCCAACACAAAGAAATGTTGGTGGAGTGGCTCAAGGTGAAGGCCCTGAGTTCAAACTCCAGTACTGGACAGAAAGAGAAAGAAGGAAGGAAGGAAGGAGGGAGGGAAGACAGGAAGAGAGGGAATGGAAGGAAAGGAAAAGTAAGGGAAGAGAAAGGAAGGAGGGAGGGAGGGAGGGAAGGAAGGAAGAAAGAAAAAAGAAAGGTAGATAATAGGCTAAACAAAAAACATTTTAAAACATTTTATCAGGCTGGGGATATAGCTTAGTGATTTAGTGTTTGTCTCGCATGTATGAGGCCCTGAGTTCAATCCCCAGTACCACAAATAAATAAATAAATAAATAAAGCAATCTTATCTATTCCTTTCTGTGTTTTTTTTTTTTCATTTATGTGTTTTTTTTTTTTTAATGTGGCTACGAGGCTCCAGGCATGGTGGTGCAAAACTGTAATCCCAGCACTCAGGAGGCAAAGGCACGAAGACTGATTGCCAGGCTGGGCTGCTTACCAAGTTCAAGGCCAGCCTGAACCACACAGTGAGACCCTGTCTCAAAAAAAACAATGGCTGGAATATAGCTCAGTGGCATAGCTCTTGCCTAACATGGGCAAGGCCCTGGGTTGATCACCAGAACCGTCAAAAGAAAAAAAAATACACCCTACTGCCTACAAAAAAATTTTAAATTACATGTCGTCCACTTTATATTTCAATTTAACAGAGCTGTTCTAAAATAAAATTTTAACAGAATTGGGGCCTGATTGAAACCTTATAAAGTTACCTCAGTATACAATGGGAGATAAAAATAGGTCTCACTATTGCTGAGACCAGAGCCTATCTTCTTACTGACTTTAAACATTACATTTCCCATTACAATGGGCTGGAAGAGTGGCTCAAGTGGTAGAGAGCTGGCCTAGCAAGCATGAGGCCCTTAGTTCAAATCCCAGTACCACCAAAAAAAAAAAGAAAGTGAACAATGACAATGACTTACAGGCACTTTTCAAATTCTGGCAGAACAGTTCCTAATTGCATTCGCCGGCGAGTTACATCAAATGGATAGCTAAAAGAAGAAAAAAGGCGTAAAGACTTAAAAATAACTTTTATTTCCTATTCAACAACCATGAAATGAAAATTCCCATATCAGGAGATAACATGATCCTGTCTGCTTATAGTTTTGTCTAATCTGGGAATCAAATATGAAAGTCAATTACCTCTACAAGGGTCTCCTTGCTCCTTTAAAGGAGTCTTCTCTCCACCACCACAATACCAAGTTCTTTTAATTCCTCCACACCAAATTAAATGCCACTTCCTGAAGAAACAGACTGAGTGCTTTTCATTGCTGTAGCCCTAAAGGAGGGCTCCTCAACTTTGGCACAATTGACATTTTGGATCCTTCTGTCTGGTGGGGGACAATCCTCTGCCACTAGATGCCAGTAGCACTCCCGCAGTTTTTTGGTTGGGGGGGTGTTTGCTCGTACTGGGGCTTACACTTGGGGCCTTATACTTGCTAGGCAGGTGTTCTATCACCTGAGCCTTCCCACCAGTCCTTTTTTGTGACGGGTTTTCTCAAGATAGGGTCTCAACAACTATTTGCCCAGGCTGGCTTCGAACCTTGCAATCTCTGTCCCCCAAATGCCTAGGGGTATAGGCATGAGCCACCTACACCTGGCTTCCCAGTTTTAACAACCAAAAATGTCTCCAGATATTAACAAATGTCCATTGGATTCAAATTCACCCCATCTGAGAGCTACAACCCTAAGAATATTCAGCAGGTGCCCTTGAGTGCAGTAGACCAATATAAAATTTTCTGTACAGGATAGAACTAATGATACAGATAATTGCATTTTGAGAGCAGAGAAGATTATAGCATTGACAGAAATGGAAAAGCAATCTCTTTTACAAGTAAGAATGCAGATGATGTTTTAAAATTACTTTTATTGGGGGGGTGAGGGAGGGGGCAGACTGGGTGTTAAGGGAGGGGGTGGGGGCAGGGGGGAGAAATGAATCAAGCCTTGTATGCACATATGAATAATTAAAAAAAAAATTTTCAAAAAAATCCAAAAAAAATAAAAATAAAAATAAAATTACTTTTATTTTGCTAATACAGACTACTTGGATTAGGTCCTGTCCAAAACAATCTATATATGCTCACGATCACGACTACATAGTAGAGACTGTATCCCAACATTAAGATTAAAAAATAAATAAATAAAACGGCACCAGTGGCTCATGCCTATAATCCTTGCTACTCAGGAGGCAGAGATTAGGAGGATGTCGGTTTGAAGTCAAACTGGGAAAATAGTTCACAAGACCCCATTTTGAAAATATCCAACATAAAAAAGGGCTAGTGGACTGGCTCAAGTGGTAGGCATCCGATTAGCAAGCCAGAAACAAAATTTTAAGTTCTTTAAGGAAAAAAGCCACATTTTCCTCTTCACATAGGAGAAAAGGTTAAGGCTGGGTGGGGGGGTGCACAGTGGTAGACTGCTTTCTAGGAAACACGGGCCTCTGATTTCAAACCCCAGTGCAAAAAGAAAATCACACAGAAATGGGGCGTGGTGGGGAATGTCTATAATCCAAGCACTCAGGAAACTGAGGAAGAACGATCTCAAGTTTGAGGCAAGCCTAGGCTACAGAGTGAGAAATTGATGAAGGAAAAACACACACAGATGGGTAGTAAGAGGATATAAACAAGTGAAATACATGAAAAGGGAAGGATTATTATAAGAGTCATGGAATTAGAACCTCTAAAAAGTGTTTGAAAGAACTGAGAAGGGACCATTGCATTATGGGTCCATGGGTGTAGAATATAAGAAAAGAAGTAATGCCGGGTATGGTGGCTTACACCCATAATCCTTCCCTGGGGAGGCAAAGAGAAGAGGATCATGGTTCAAGTCCAACTTGGGCAAAAAGTTGGCAAGACCCTTTCAATCAATAAGCTGGGCATAATAATACATGCCTGTGATCCCAGCTAAACAGGAAGCCATAGGTAGGAGGATCCTGATCATAGACCAGTCACAGACAAAAAATTTGAGCCCCTACCTGAAAAGTAAAACAAAAACAGGGGTGGGGTGTGCCTCAAATGGCAAAGTACCTGCCGAGCAAGTGTGACGCCCTGAGTTCAAACCCCAGTATAGCTAAAAAAGAAAAAAGAAAAGATGTGAGAAAGAAAAGACAGAAATAAGGCTCCAATTGGGAATTAGTACAGAAGTAAGAGAGGCAATAAAATCAAGAAGAGAATCAGACAGCTGGAGGTGATCATGTCCTTGTAAATGAATGAGGTTCCCCAGACAAGTTTCCAACAGTAAACTACACGCCTTTTGTTTGTATCTTCAATCTAGTATATTCTACTCCCATTCACAAATATACAGAGTCTGCCTTCACAGATTCATGCAATCCATGAGTTCAAACCCCAGTCTCACCAAAAACAAAACACAGAGGTAATCCCTAACTATGAGATCCAATGAATACCTTATTTATCTTACTCTGACTCTTCTTTTTCCATTAGGTACTCCCTCTTTGATTCTTTATGATACTAGGACTTCCTTGATGTTTTCCTGTTTTTCAGGAAGTTCCTTCTCAGTCTCAGAAAGCTTTGTTTCTTCCTGTTTCTGAAAAGTTCCTGTTTCTCAGTACTGCAGCCTCTTACCTTGTCTACTTGATCTCTCTCTCTCTAAATGTCACATTTATTTTTTTTTTGGTGGTACTGGAATTTGATCTCAGGACCTCATGCTTGCTAGGCAGGCACTCTACCACCTGAGCCACTCCACCAGCTACTTGATCTCTCTTGGTGTAGGGAAATTCTTTAAAGCCACCTTTTCAATAATAATATAGTAACACCTTTATCAATGTTCCTACTACATGTTATGTTATCTTTAGCTCCAGTTAGCTGCAGTCTGATTGATTGATTGATTTAGGCAATACTAATGTTTCAACTGAGGGCCTCATGCTTGCTAGGCAGGTGCTATAAACCTTGAGCCACTCCAGTTCTAGTCTTTAAGAAAAGTGTCCAAAAAATAATATTTATATTTTACAAAGGATCCTGATTTTTAGTAATGTATTGGAAAAAATTAAATGGTTACCAATGGTAAAAATGAGGAATGGGTAACTAAGTTTCTTGCTTTTGTTTTGGATTTTTGTTTCTTTGAACTGAGGGCCTTGAACTTGCTAGGCAAGCACTCTACCAATCTGAGCTATGCCTTCAGCCCGGGTAACTGTAATTTGATTAAATTAGGTCAATGAAGAAACTTACGATATTGTCTGTGCTATTGCTCCAGCAATACCACCACAAAGTAAGTTTATGTGAGTTTTCAAAACTAGGACATTAGGATTGTCTGACGAAGGTCTTCCAAGAAGGGTAGGAGCATAGGAAAGCCCAACACTCTTTAAGGTACCAAAAGTGAAGAATGAAACACCTGAAAAACAAAATATAAATTCACCATAATGCTGAACAGAACATAAACTGTGAAAAAGACCCCTTTCTTACATAATAACCAATTAACTCAAAGAAGCAACTATGCATTTCCTAATTTCTGATGTTTGGCTTAAGCTAAGATAAAAAGACTTAATTCATGTTTATAAATACTAAAGTCAAAGCAATTACTACCTGTAAAAAATTTTACATACTAATGTATTGTGCACAGAAGGAAGCAACAGTGAACATAAACTTAACTTATATATGAGTACAATTAAACAATTTTACAAGGTTTCTTTTAAGTGAGTGAAAATTAAATATGTGATTTATCATTACAAGTAAATATGATGACAACCTGTACCTACAATAACAATGCTGATGATAACGTAAGACAAGCAAAAAGATTTAGAAGTGACAAAGCATTGTTATTTTGTTTTTCTTTTTCTTTTTTTGTATCTCTCAGGATCAAATCCAGGGCCTCTTACACATGCAAGGCAAGCACTATCTTCACCCCCCGGTACTGAGGAGAAAACTTTTGTTAGAATTTTTATCAGGGTTTGGGAAGTAGTTCAGGGGTAGTGTTTGCCTAGTATGCATGAAGCCCTTGGTTCAAGCCCCAGCCTGAAAATAAATAAATAAATAAATAAAGACGCTGGTGGCTCACACCTGTAATCCTAGCTACTCAGGAGACAGAGATCAGGAGAATGGTGGTTTGAAGCCAACCCCAGGCAAATAGTTTGTGAGACCCTATCTCGAAAAAAACCCATCACAAAAAAGGGCTGGCAGAGTAGCTTAAGGTGTAGATCCTAAGTTCAAACCCCAGTAACACAAAAAAAACAAGAAAAAAAAAAGTTGCTCTTATCTGAGCACTGGTGGCTCACATCTGTATTGCTATCTACTTGGGAGACAGAGATCAGAAGGATCCTAGCTCAAGGACTGCCCAGACAACAAAAATGGGACTCTATCTTCACAGAAACAGGCTGGTGGAGTGGCTCAAGGTGAAGGCCCTGAGTTCAAACCCCAGTACCACAAAAAATATAAATAAATAAATTCCTCAACCCATTGTCATTACTTTTATTCATTGCTGCCCTGTAGGCTCCTAGCTAGTTACAGTAAGGAAAGAGACTAATATGGCTGGCGGCATGGCTCAAATGGTTGAGTGCCTGTCTAGCAAACGTGAGGCCCCGAGTTCAAACCCCAGTACCACAAAAAAAAAAAAAAAAAAAGAAGCATAAATAAAGGATTGCAACAGAGAAATGATGTATCTGCACAGGATGTGACTGCTCATGTAGAAAATCCAAAGCGTCTACAGATGATATGGTAGCTCACCTTCATACAGTAAAAAGGAGAAAAATGGCTAGCTATAGCATCACATAAAACTTAAACCAAGCATTAAACTGGAAATGTAATTGCCTAAAAGACACGGCAAAACTTACAAAATATTTATAATTATGGCTAACAAAAATATTCAATTTCATCCAAAACTCCAACCAGGGACTGCCAGAGTGGCTCAAGTGGTAGAGTACCTGCCTAGCAAATGTAAGGCCCTGAGTTCAAACCCTAGTACCACCAAAAAACAAAAAAATCTCAATCAGGACTTTCTATTTTTTTGACACAGTTCAAAGTCAGCCTGGGCAAATAGTTCAAGAGACCCCATCTCTAAAATAACCAAGGAGGCAAAACGGACTAGAGGTGTGAATCAAGCAGTAGAGCACCTGCTTCACAGGCACAAAGCTCTGAGTTCAAACCCCATCCCACCAAAAAAAAAAAGTTAACATAGTTAAATATATATCCAAGAAAAATGAAAACATATTTACATACAAAGACTTGTACATGAAGTTTACAGCATCATTATTTGTATTAGCCAAAAGGTAAAATCAACCCAAATGCCTGTCAAATGATGAAGGGATAAACAAAATACAGCACACCCAAACAATGGAATACATCCGTCCATAAAACTGGCTAAGGTACTGATTATATCCAACAACATAAAGAACCTTCAATCACAAAAGACCACATATAATGTGATTCCATTTATATGAAATGACAAGAACAGGCAAACTCAAGAGTCAAAAAGATTAATGGCTGCTTAGGACTGGGGAGTGATCACTGATAGGTGCAAGGTTTCTTTGGAGAGTAATGAAAACATTCTGAAATTGATTATGACAGAACTGAGGACATGACTCAAGTTATACAGTACTTGCCTAACAAACACAAAGCCTTTAGTTCAAAGCCCAGTCTGGGGGGAGGAAGAAAAGGCTTTTTTTGCGGTACTGGTGTTTGAACTCAGGGTCTGAACCTTGAGCCACTCCAGCCCTTTTTTTTTGTATGTATGATGGGTTTTCTCAATATAGGGTCTCGAGAACTATTTGCCCAGCTAGCTTTGAAACTCAAGCTTCAAACAGCAATCCTCCTGATCTCTGCCTCCCAAGTAGCTAGGATTACAGGTATGAGCCACTGGCACCTGGCGGGAGAAAATATTTTAAACATGCATAAATAATAAGTTGATAATCAAATTATACAAAGGTTAAACCAAACCAATAAGAAAAAGACAACTCAATAGAAAAATAGGCAAAATATATAAGCAGGTACTCCACAGAAAAGGAAATATAAACTGGGCATGCTGGTGCACACCTGTGATCCCAGCACTTGGGAGGATGAAGCAGGAGAATGGTTACTTTAAGTGCATTGTAGACTACACAGTGAGACCCTATCTCAAAAGAAAACCAAAACAAAAAGGAAAAGACCAGAAAAGAAAAGAAATGAGGGGGGAAAAATCACTTTTAAACTTGACTTTTCTTCTCCCAGGTGGTACAGGAGTTAGAACTCAGGGCTTTACACTTGCTAGGAAGGTGTTCAACTGCTTGAGCCATACCTCTAGCCCGTTTTGCTCTGGTTATTTTAGAGATAGGGTCTTACTTTTTATCCAGACTGGTCTAGACAGTGACCCTCCGATTTTAGGTTTCCCACAGTAGCAGGGATGAGAGGAATGCATCACCATGCCCAACTATGGTTGAGATGGAGTCTCATAAACTTTTTTGTCCAGCTGGCCTAGAACTGTGATCCTCTGATCTCAGTCTACTAAATAGCTAGGATTGCAAGTGTAAGCCACCAGCACCTGGATTTTTTTTTTTTAAGAGATAACCTCTCACTCTGTTGCTCAAGGCTGGACCCAAACTCCTGGGTCAAGCAGTCCTCTTGTCTCATCTCTTTTACCTATAGTATGTGCCACCTGGCCCAGCTTCAACCCTTTCTTTTAATTTACATGCTCTTAAAACTTGAATCCTGCCAGGCACCAATGGCTCATGCCCAGCAAGCCTGGGCAAAAGTTTGCAAGACCCCATCTTAATGGAAAAAAGCTGGGTGTGGTAGCACATGCCTGTCATCTCAGCTTTAGCAAGAAAACTAAAATTAGAGGACTGTGGTCCAGGCTGGCCTAAGCAAAATGCTAGACCCTATCCGCAAAATAACCAGAGCAAAAAGGGCTGATGCATGGCTCAAGCAATAGAGTGCCTACCTAGCAAATGTGAAGCCCTGAGTTCAAACCCCAGAACTGCCAAAATGATGTAAAAGTACCTTTCTACTCATTGTACATGAAAAGTAGACAAGATATTGTACGACCACATATGAATCATTTTGTCTTCACTTAAGTGAAAGATCTTTTGAGATAGCATCTTTTCATGCTACCACTTTCAAAAAAAAACATGGGTGACATAATTCAAACACAACCCAGAATTCTGCCAAATGTGAAACTTACCTGCATATGGAGCCATTCCTAATATAGTAGGCATCAGGCCTCTGTAAAATCCAAGGAAACCACCTTCCTTTGAGTAAAGGAAAATTAAAAGTGAGATTACATTGTGCTCATTCTGATAGATATCACAGAACAAAAGCATATAATGCAATGGAAATATTATTTGAGAACCCACACAGGATCACAAAGATGGGCTTTCATAATTATTATTATCAACATCAATAATTACAAATAAAAGAAAACTTAGATATCATTCAAAATATTTTCCTAAATATAAAAGGACAAGTTGTTAACCAGGCCCCGGTGGCTCACACCTGTAATCCTAGCTACTTGGGAGGCAGAGATCAGGAGGATCGAGGTTCGAAACCAGCCCGGGCATACAGTTCTTGAGACTCTATCTTGAAAAAACCCACCACACACACAAAAAAAAGGGCTGGTGGAGTGACTCAAGGTATAGGCCCTGAATTAAAACCCTAGAATTGCAAAAATAAAGAAAGAAATAAGTGGACATGTTATAACCAAGAAAGGCAAAAATGAAATACCTTTGCATAAATGGTTTTGAATGCATGAATAATTCCTGTATAGGTATGTTCTCCTTTCACCTGGAATGCTAGACGTACCCTAACCATGTCAAGTGGGTAAGTACAGATAACTGCAGTCATACCTGAAAAGAAAGTAGAAACTTAATTGTATAAAACTTTTTGACATATACATGTATACATCTTCCTTATCATTATCAATGCTCTCAGTAGTATAGCAATGATGAAACCCTAAGAAATCAAAGGTGGTATTAATGACTGACTTATACAATAATATCATCAGCTAGAACACAATATAATAAGTAAAAAGTCGGTTTGTAAAAATATTCTTCCCATTAGTAAGTTATATTGTTAGCACCAAAATAGCACAGGATAAGAGGATCATGAGATTTAAAAAAAAAATCTATAATAAAACCTGTTAAAAATTGTTAAAGGCTGACAGAGTGGCTCAAGTAATAGAGCACTGTTTCAAGTGCCTGCTTTGAGAGAAGGAAGCCCTGAGTTCAAACCCTAGGCCCACCAAAAATAAAAACAAAAAATTAGGAACTACAGATAAACGAAAATATTAAAACACGTACATATTTATCCTCTAATATTTATTACCTAATCTTTTAGACAGTTTATATATGTACAATTACACACATGCATGCACACATCTATACTTAAAACTTGTGATAATTCTATTTTGTAGCTAATTTCCTTTTTTTGGTCAGTACTGGCATTTGAACTCAGGACCTCATGCTTGCTCGGCAGGTGCTCTTCCACTTGAGCCACTCCACCAGCCATGTTGCCAATTTTTCATATTTTGTTTTATATTGAGAATATCTCTCCCTATTATCAGAACAAATTTAATATACTGTAATTCACTAAAGCAATCCTACTAGACATTTGGGACGTGTAAGCAAACATGGTTTGGTAAGCTGGCATGCACAAGACCCTGGATTTGATTCCCACTCTGAAAAAAAAAAAAGCCAGGCATGTTAGCCTATAATCCCAGCATTCAGAATGCTAAGTCAGAAGGACTGTGAATCAGAGGCCAGGCTGGGGTGTAAGGCAAAACCCTGTATCAGAAAACTAAAACATGGTGAGCAGAATGGCTTAAGTGGTAGAGTGCATGCTTAGCAAGTGTGAGGCCCTGAGTTCAAGCCCCAGTACTGCTGAAAAAGCAAACAAACAAAAACAAAAAACATATGCTTTATGGAATGTTATTATAACTAAATATTTTTGTGTATCATTTCCATTACTCATGAATTCCTAAAATAGAATTATTGAATCAAAGGGTGAGGCTTTTAATAGAACTTACCCTCCAAGGGCTAGGGTGAGATAACTCAGTGGTAAAGCAGTCTGAGCATGTGCAAAGCCCTGGGGTTTGATCCTCAGCACCAACCCCCAAAATTAATAATAATAACAAATGTAAAACAGACTCAAAAGGCTAGTCATTTTAAGGTTTGATCATGCTGACACAATTTGGGTAAATATCAGATTTAACTGGTATAAATCTTCCCAAGTCATCTCTATCATATTATTACAACTTCCATAAATTTTTACAACTCTCATTTTTTCTCATTCCTGATCTGGATCACTTTGGTCTTCCCTCTCTCACTCGTACTTTGTTCCTTCCTTCTCACATGTTCCCACGCTTTCTCATTGCTTTCTTACTAGCTTCAAGTGGTTCAGTAAGAAATAACTGTGTGAATCAATGAAGTGGCCACAATGATAAACTGGCAGAAAGCAGGTATACCCAGAAATCTGTAAAGGCAAAGCAGGCATTAGCTACAATAGTGCAACACTAAGGAATTGGATTCCCAGAAGGGCTAACTCATGATTTAGGTCTACAACTTTTCAGTTTATCGTACCATGTCTTTATATGGTGCACAGTACGCAACCAAGTCTTCTTCCTAAAGAAAAACAGAACCTGTTGACAAGCATGTAAAAATTGCCAGGTTTTGTTGTTGTGTTCATTTTCCTGAAAGGAACTTAACGATGTGCCTGATAATTTTAATCCCTGGAAGATGAGGCAGATATTCTTAACATTATTTTGTTCTCTTATGAATCTTAAAAATCCATCCAAGGACTTTAGATGCTTACTTTTCATTGGCATGTTGGGGAAATGAGGAATATTCCTATAATAATCATATTGTACCCTTCACTTAAAGCACAGAATTACAAAGCCCTCTACAGTGTTAGATTTAGATTTTTAGAAACTTTAAATGTAGAAATGATTATCATGTCCTGCATTGTCCAAATTAAAAACAACACTGTAATCCTAGCTATTTGGGAAGTAGAGATAGGAAGATTAAGGTTTGAGGGCAAACTAGGCAAGAAGTAAATGAGACCTTATCTCAAAGAACAAGCAGGGCCCGGTGGGTAAACCATAATCTCAGCTATACTACAAGGAGAGTTAGGAGGATTTTGGTCAATGCTGGCCCTGAGCAAAAATGTCATACCTGAAAAATAACTAAAGCAAAAAGGATTGGGGTTGGGGGAGATTTAAGTTGCTAGGATGCTTATCTAGCAAGCCCAAGGCCTTGAGTTCAAGCTCCAGTACTGCCAAACTAAAAATAAGCAGGCTGGCAAAGTGGCTCAAGTGGTAGAGCGCCTGTCTAGGAAGCATGAAGCCATGACTTCAAACCCCAGTACCTCAAAAAAACAAAAAAACTATGGGGTTGGTGTTGGAGGGATTTGGGGATCATATTCACTTGATGAATATGATCCAAGTACATTACATGCATGTATGGAAATATCACAATGAAACCCATCACTCTGTACAATTAATATATACCAGTAGAAAATGAAAAGGACTACACTGTAAAATAAGTTTGAAGATTTTTAACTACATTTTCCCCATAATGACCACTTTGTTATAAAACTCTCTGATTGTGATTCCTTTCCTATCCCCCCTCCTTTTTTTTTTTTTTTTTTTTGGTGTGACTGGAGTTTGAACTCAAGGCTTTACACTTACAAAGCAGGCATTCTACCTCGAGCCATACCTCCAGCCCATTTTGCTCTGGTTATTTTGAAGATGGGGTCTTGAGAAATTTGAACCTCGATCCTCCCAATTTCAGCCTCTCAAATAGCTAGGATTATAGGTGTGAGCCACCAGCACTCATCCCTATCCCTGTTAAAAAATACCATATGTTGGCCTGGGGTTATGGCTCAGTGGTGGAGCACTTTCCTAGCATGCACCACACCCTGGATTTCATCCCTAGTACTGAAAGAAAAAATAAATCAGATCAATGTCTGAAAAATGTTTCACTCTTTATTTTTGGAGTCCCTGCTTTGCTGGGGCCCTATGTATATATATAGTCTAACTGTCAAGTAACCCAGCATTAGCATTATTTTCTTGACTTGATGACTTTCCTCATTTTTTAACTAATTTATTTTGCATTACTTTATTATTAAACTTTTTTTTTAACTTACAGTCATCGGTCAAAAGAATCAAAAGAAGTCAAGAGTATAAACTCCAGAGTGCACCTCCTAGATTCAAATCAGACTGTCACTAACTACCTACATGACCTTGAACAAGTTACTTAAACTGGGCTTTAGTTTCATTTTCTATAAAATGAATATTATAATAAATGAGTACCCAAATTAGAGACTTAGGAAGATTGAGTTAATACAGATAAATGCTTAAAGTAATTCCAGCAACAAAGTAAATGGCATATATAAATGTGAGCTAATTGTTGTTCCAGTCTATTGTATTTCAAATGATTTTTTTTTCTTTCTTTTTTTTGTGGTATTGGGGTTTGAACTCAGGACCTACACCATGAGCCACTCCACCAGCCCTATTTTTGTGATGGGTTTTTTTCCAGAAAGGGTCTCAAACTAATTGCCCAGTGCTGGCTTTGCACCTTGATCTTACTGATCTCTGCCTCCTGAGTAGCTAGAAGTACAGACATGAGTCATGGGCATCTGGCTCAAATAATTTTTTGATCCTCTCCTTTGAGAATTAAATCATTTGTTTACTACTTACTGGGCTCCCCAGTCCTCCTCTCTCCCTTTCCTACTCATCAATGCTTTTATTAGAATAAGAAGGGAAGCACAACCAGAGGGTTATTGTAGAGTAGTTGGTAACAGTAGAACCCAGCTGGACAATGAGTAATCAGACTGACATATATACCAGTCATTCAGAGGGTGACTAGGATTTCTGATTCATAAAACTACTGTCTCCCATTTGGTCCCCTTTTCTCCACTTATATACTCCTTACTCCACTACTTATAGGATGGCCAAAAAAAACCTCCATGATGAAATGAGGGAAATCAGACACTACTTACCTTAAACAGTAGTGGTGACAATTTTCCTCTTCCCCCATTTTACAACTACAATCCAGTACAAAGAGGAGAGGATCTTCACCTACCAGGAAGCAATGAGACTCAATCAAGCTGAAATGTGCTTTTGATTTTTTTTATCATTTTCGGCTTTATTAAATTTGCTCTCACCAATGTCTATGAAGTTAGAGACTTGGCTCTCCCCCAAGCAGCAAGTTCCACATTATTAAGCAGCATTGGGAGGGGGGGTGTTGAGCAAGAGATAGGAAGAAAGAAAGACCTGTGCTTCAAGGTCTTGGGCTTCCCATTTGTTTTCTCCCAAATAACTCACTCTGCCAACTGCTGGAGCTAAAGTTTGGCCTGCCTTGAACCTTACTAAAACCATGAAACCAACATTTCCCCCGATGCATGGGTAGGATGGCCAGGTTGAGCCAACAGGAGTATGAATCACCTTCCAGCCCTCTCCTTCTGTGGACTTGCTTTACCACTATGTAGCCAAGACAGAAGGGTGTCCTGGTCTCCTGTTTAGACCAAAGGCATTTAGTTCTCAGCACTGCATGCAAATGGAGTAAAACCTGTGCATTCTTCACAACCTTTTCTGGGATCCTTTGGGCCTAATGAGTGAAACCCTTTTGACTTATAGCTGAGCAGGATTAATGTCCAGTATGACATCAGAGGTGGGCACTAGTGGTGTATGCTGGTACACCACCTTTCAAATCCCCTTGCTATATTGGAGTTCCTGACCTTAACAAGCCTCATTGTCTTAAAGTAGCCAGAGAGTGAGTTTACCCAGACTTCTGTGAGTCTAGGGCCCAGGCAGTGACAGGCTCCCCCACTTGTGATGTACATCCTAGGA